ATTAAAATAATTCTTTGTAATATTATAATTTTATCAAGGAGAATTAAAACTACTACCACTTGGGTTGATAGAAAGACTCAGGAATACAAAGATACATACCACTTGGGCTGAGTTAGGTAACACAATTTTGTTTTATTTTTTAAAAGTAGTTGCACAACAATTATTTTTCAAAGTATATATATTCTCTTTGCAATTGGCGCAATTTAAAGATTTCACATCATTTTTGAAATACGTATCACTTAGGTTGAATTAGGTAACGCAATTTTGTGAATTATTTTGTTAGGGAGAAAAATATAAAGCTACTATACATATCATTTGGGTTGAGTTAGGTAACGCAATTTTGTGAATTATTTTGTTAGGAAGAAATAAAGTTACTACCATTTAAGATTTTTAAATTTACAACATACATTGCGCGTGTATTTGGCGCCTTTTTTTGAAAAAGATAATTTTGTACTGATATCATGCATTTTGTAGAGATAAGCAAGTATCGGCAAAAAATTTCCATTTTTTATTTTTTAATTATTCACAAATTGATAATAACAACGAATTAAATTTTTATTAAATTTATATATATATATATATATATATATATATATATAAAACCTCTTATTTTTTACAAATATACATATATGTGTATTTATATTCGTATTATATAGAAAATCGCTATAACATTAAATGTAATAATAGTTATAATATAGAATTATTGTCTTCTATTTTTGAAATTTATTAAATATGTATTTATTGATTAAATACGTATTTATTATATTTAATGTTATTCTTGTGAATTCTCTATGTTAGGTAGATATAAATACACATATATATCGTATATATACATATATATAATATTAACATGTTTTTAAATCATGTTTATCTGCAATAATTAAATTATTTATATTAAATCAATTATTATTTTTAAAATAAAAAATTTACCTGACAATGTGATTATTCCTTATCCACTCATTATTAATTTTCAAATAAGTAATAATTCATGTATTAAAAACACATGAAGAATATAAAACGATGCAAAACTGGAAACTACTGGAACAGATTCGGGTCTGGACTAGTTATTTATTGGTTCGGATTTCTTGACTGCTTGAACAGATCGACTGAGAAAAAGTTTATTATAATGGACTATTTTTCCGAAAATATTACATACATGGATCCAACTTGTATCAAATCTATGAATAATACGTGATTATAATCAATATAATTGTATATATTTATTTTTGTACAGTTATCTTCAAGAAATCACAAGAGATGATACATCTAATATTTGTAAATAGATTTCTGTTAGAGGATCTGATCGTGGATTAATATTTTAATACTGTTTCTGATTGTTATCGAAATGAATTAAAGTATGGTTTTGTATTTTCATATTGTAATTATTATATTCAAGTCATTAAACTATTCATGTATTTTTATTTTCCCTCCAAATGTTTGCGAAAACTCAATTATTTAGTAGAGCTACGTAATCGAGTAAATGAATTAAATATTATCAGGAATAAATTAAAATCACAGTCCTTAAAAATACAATGTAGCTCCAATATATATATATAATCAGCTGTTTTATAATGAATCAATTGTACGATAAAACAAAGTTATTTATCTGGTTATAATATTTACAGTCCTTGAATCTGAATCCTTTAAACAAAATTGGACAATTTGTTGAATCTAAGATCAGATTTTAGCTTTCTTCCTATTTTTATCCGACACTGTATACTTGTCGTAACTTTTCGTTGGATCAAAAGGTTCCCATGCATCTACTCGCTGGAAAAATGTGTTTGTTTTTCTCGTACCATGATCTAATGAGAAAAATAAAAAAATAACATAAAAAAAAATTATGCAAAATATTCTTTTAATAATAAATACCTAAGTAAAACTTTTCCGACATGTGATTCCTCGGTTTCGACAGAAGCATCGTGCATAATACGAATATCATCGTGAACGTCAAATGTGAACAGAGGCCCGCTCTTTCCTCGTGCCTAATCGCAATATTACATACATTAAAATAACATGCCAACATTGTGAATTGTGATATTGCTTCATAAGTTTTATCATTTAGTACATTTACCTTAGTTACAATAAAATCAGTTACAGTTGCAGTAAAACGTATAATGGTACGGTAATATAAGATTCTCCTGACATACATTAACTGATCTGCCATTACTGTTTTAAGCTCGCTGAATTCGGGCTTCAGAACTTCTAAACATCTCTGAAGAACCTAATAGATAGAATTACCTGTATGTGAAAATTTAATTTATGCAGCAGAACATTATATATCATGCCAATGTTACTCTAAAAGTGACACTGGAGTATTTTAATAACTTAAACGTTCTCTAAACTACTGAGACACCTTTCTTTCACCTTTCTTCATTATAACACTCCGACGATGGTCAGATCCATCCCAATAACTGAATGTGATCTCAATTTCTTCTTCCTTCAACGCGTTCTGCTTTCTAGCCCATTCTTGTTTCAATTCTTTCCTAAGTTTATTTTCCTCCTCGTCCCTTTCCCTACTGGCAAAAAACGTGTATCTACATCTGGATTTTTCTAAATCTTCTTAATCGCAGGGCCATCAGATTGCACATTTTCTGACTGCGGGGATTTTTTGGCATTGTCTTCGTCAGAAGACATCTCAGCTTCATCTTTGTCTTCGTCCAGATTAAAAGACAAAGCTTGAATCTGTCTCTTCTGTTTGTTCTTTTCTGTCTGCTTCGCCGCTAGTCTTCTTTCCTTTTCCTGCTCTTTTTCATGTTCCTTCTATCAAAGCATAAAATACACGTACAAAAATACAAATTATGAAATAATCAGGATCATAAAAAGATTGTAAGAAATTACTTGTGGGTATCAGGATTCGTGAATGTTCGCTCAATTTAACGGCGGATTTTCTCTTGCATTCCGCGTGACCGACGGTACATGCACATTTCGTGGCATCTAGCCTTAGCATCTTTGTGATATCGTCATCATGCATTATGATTTTCTTCGTATCCTATCTTCTGAAGAAGCCCATCGAAAATTCTTGATATGTATGACTAGATGACATTCAGAGCACTAGGCAGAAATCACACACACATATATATATATATATATATATATATATATATATATATATTATATATATTCACGGCAAACCGCATATATAACATCGTGTTATTTTTATAACCTATTTACGCAAACGTTACTTCTGTAGTAACTTACGATACGATAATTCCTCCGCGTAAACGGGAGATTTTATAGTAACTATTATGATCGGAAATCAAGAGCCACCGTTGAAAGTAGTGAAGGTTACGTTTCTCTGATTGAGAGACGACGACGTATCTTAATATGAATTACTGTAAGTTACTACAGATGTACTCACTCGCATAAACATATAGTTCGACAACTTTTACAAGACAGCATATACGTACGTGTGCAATTTTGGATATACCTTCCTTCTTTTGAAAATCTCCTCGACATCAGCTCTCTGTGGTTAATACTTTATATATTTCACTTACTACGTTTACGCGAGCGTAGTAAACTTACGATAATTCCTTCGCGTAAACAGAATTTTCCTTCGCGTAAACGGGATTTTGTAGCAACTTACGATAATTTACTCCGCGTAAACGAGTGAATTATCGTAAGTTACTACAGAAGTAACGCTCGCGTAAACATACAGTTTGACAACTTTTACAAGGCAGCATATACGTACGGTTTGTACGATTTTGTAGATACACCTTCCTTCTTAAAGATCTCTCAGCATCAGCTCTCTACGGTCAATACTACAATACTTATATATATTTCACTATCTGTCACGACGCGGCAACGGTCACGACTATCACACACTTACACTTATCCTTTTCTAGGTTGTAAAAAACTGTCACGCACTGCGACAGTGCACGAGTGCAATCTCGTGTCAAAAATGGGAAAGTGACACACCAGCCGCCATTTTTGTCCGACGTGGACGTTTCTTAAAAAAAAATTTTCCAGATTTGGACTTTGCATCGCAATATCTTCGCTCGTAGGGCACGTAACGGAAAAAAAGGCTCTTATTTATGAATTAAACCCCAAGCTATCGATCGAACCTACTTAGAAATTGATCCGTTCACTCGTTATTGAGATATCAAAATCTCGGATACTCGCAACTCATGCGTTCGCGTAAAAGAGTCACGGTGCGTCTCGCTTCGCGCGTACTTGACGCGAGACACTACCGTGTCTCTTGATACAAATAACGAGCCTTATTCATTGAGCGAGTGCCGGAGTGCGCGACGCGAGTGAGTGCAAGTGTGAGTGAGTGGCATACGCCCGGCGAGCGTAACATTATAATTCCTTGAAAGAAAAGTTTTTCTATGATGCATGACGTTCACTTACAAAAGCAACATTGATTTCAATACAAGTCTTTAATCGTCGTAGAGCTGGAGAGATACAAAGGACGCTAATCGAAGATTATAAAACTTATCAAGGAATGAATTTTCAAACAAATGATATGTATAAAGCGCTTTCACCACGTGCCAAAGAAATTGCCAAAAAATATGTACGATAGTTTACCTTAAGAGGTAAACTTGGACGAACGGTACCAGTCTTACTAACAGCAGAATTAAGAGACTGCATCGAAATGATTTTAAAGCATAGAAAGGTTGCGAAAGTTTCTTCAAAGAATCCGTAACTATTTGGTCTTCCTTCGCTTAAAAAAGATAATCACAAATTTCTTTTAGCGTGTTACTTATTACGGCAATATGCAGTAGAAAGTGGCGCAGAAAATCCAGATACTATTCGTGGAACTCAATTACGGAAGCATATAGCAACAACATGTATTCATTATAATTTGAGGTAAATAATGGGCTATGAGAGCCAACGCAGGATCTAATATGCGAAAATTATAATTAACAAATTCTTAGTCAATACATTAAAATATTTATCAAAAAATGAAATTTCAACGCTATGGGTCATGCCGATAAAATTCATTTATCTCACTACAGACAAGCTGTTATAGAAAAAGAAATCTTAGAAATATCTCAATATCTCGAAGCAGCACAAGGAGTTGATATGGATGAAAGTGACAGTAATGATTCTGACTCTGGACTCTTAGATATGGAAAATACAACGAAGACGACCACGAAAACTTACGATGACGAAATTAATGAGGGAGTTGCATCCAGAAAAATAATATCAAAATATTCCCAGGTTTCTTTTGCTGCGCCAGTACGATTATTTGCATCTTTTAACGTTTTATATTTTTTTTCATACCAGTCTATTTGATACAACAGTTTTCTGCAGTCAAATTATAACCATGAGTGTTAACCCTTAAATGCCACACCTCTCAAGAATCTCGTAAATGACATGAGGGGTCTAAAAGACCCCAGCATGAAAAATGTCTCGTTACTTATTGATTTTTTTATCTTTAGTTATGAAAATTTTTTTCAATGTTGTTCAAGGTTTAGAAAAAAGAATAAAATGCTTATATTGTTAAAATTTCAATTTCAACATAGTATAAAAAATTAAGTAAACTGAGTACTGCTAAGTGTACACACTGGTAGTTCAATCATTCAACTATCATCAATGGGAGCATGAGCTCCATTTTTGGCGGAAACATTTGAAAATATATAATTGTAAAGGGTCTGGGGTCCTCTGGACCCCGGGTGGCATTTAAGGGTTAATAACTGCAGCAATCGTTTTCCAAGCTTGCTTATTTAATAGACTAGTAGAAGATTCTGTATACGTAGTTATTTCTGCTGCAGTTTTACCATGTTATCAGTCCACTGAACTCTGTAATTCACTGTAATTACAAAAATTAGTTACTACTTGAACAAATTGTAATAATCGACTTATATAATTATCTTTATTAAATAATCATGTACATACCAACATCATTCACTTCTCTCACTGAACTTAATTTATCTGTAGCCATTTCTCAACAAAGCAGACCTGTAAAAATCAGATTTTTCAAAATGTATATTATATGTAGATTTTACTGCTACAAAAATAGAAATCTAACCAATCTGAACCAATAAAATCTAACAGAATTCAACAAAGTATGATATGAAATTGACAGCAAAAGCCAAAATCAGTTCTTTCATGCTGCTTATGTTTATATAAGTATTATTTTAGACAATACTTTAAAAATACATGATTGTGTTACATAATTATAATTTTAATAAAGGTAATATCATACATTAAAAACAGATTATTTTTAATTGTAATAATCAAATAATTTATATCGTATTTTTTAGGTTACCTACTACAAACTCACGGAACTCGCAACTCGCAACTCGCCCGTGATGCCCGTTAATTTGGCTATACCAGACACCATTGAGTTGTCACAAATCATGATGGTAGTAAATGGCTGTGCTTATTATATATTTCGGTTCTAGGAGAAAACTCGGATAGCCATTATCGTTAACACCCAATATAATTCACGCATTTATACCGAATCTTGCTACCTCGCGAAATGCTCGCTTCCTATTGGTCGGCTGTTTGCGTCTATCTTTAGAAAATAGCACCGAGTGCTCTGATTGGCTGAAGGCCATGCAGTATCGTGAATCTACCGTAAATGAATGAAAATAATGTAATTTTGCCAGGAATTGCTTCTATTTGCTGTCGCGGTGGATAAACTAAAAGAATTATATTAAATTATTGTAAACATGCTGAATCGATGCAAAATTATATAGAATAAACTCTATTGGTCGTCGAATCTGCCTTTAGGCTATAATAAATGAAAATATCGAAAAATGACTTAATGTCAATGTAGAACCAATCGTGGTTCATCAATAAAATGATGTATAGTGTATATAGTATGAATAATGTTGTTATTGAGTTAATGTCTGGAAAACTTGTGTATAATGGGAAAAATATAATAAATGTGACAATTAGGTACTGTTTAATGTTTATTCTGGAATTCTAGCTGCATAAATAAGAAAAATCATATGTATAATGAAAATTGTAAGTTAAATTACTAATGACGTTAAAATTAATACCAAATATCTATCTGGAATCATGTTGAGCTTTATTTATTAAATGAAATGTCTTTTCTTAATGTGAGTCTGTGATTAACTCTTTTTGTGGTACTTTACTTTATTGTGAAAGGATTTTAATTTATTGATTACTTGGGATTGGTGGGATTGTTTTGTGAATGTATATTTGTATTTGTGTTGTCTTTAATGTGTTTATCCTTATAATATAATACACGTAATATAATAAAATATTTAAATCGAATAAGCTATTCGAATATAATATTTTTGATAAAACATAAAAATTGGTGACTCGATTGCACTTTGAAATGAATAAAAACTTTGAAAAATATTAAAACATGCAAAATGTCAAATATAATGTTGGCGCACGGGATTACGCTTCCGCCGCTTGCTGTGATTGGCCAGGACTGGCCATGGCCTCGTCGACGTCCTCTAGTTGACTGGATTCGTCGTTGATTGGCTCGCTGTCTCCAGCGCAGCGGGCTGTTCCTCGCTGGGCTAGATCGTTTCCTCTCCCTCGGCCTCTGGAATCTTCTCAAACAGCTGTTCGTTGGTCAGGTCGCTGATCTCGAAAATCTCAATCTCTCCCGTTTGCTTATTGGCCAGAATGACAGCTTTCTTTGACGGTTCTGCCATGCCTGGATCCCCGGCTGCCGCCTGAGACCTGTCTACCGGCTGGCAGGCTCCGCCGCTGCGCCCCTGAATCGACGTTGGATTCGAAGACTTAGACCCGTATTCATAGTCGAATCTTATTTCAAGACTGTCTTAAGTAATGTCTTAAGATGCTAATACGGCTCTGTGAGTGGTTCATAACATCTTAAGGTCGTACTTAAGACGGTCTTAAATGTAAGATTATGAATACCGACCCTAGTCTCCGATTCCAAGGTCAGGTTGTAACCGGACGTGGTTAAGTGACGGCTCAGATTCGCGAAATATGTTGATCTACTGTTCGGTCGCCACTCGGTTTCACCTCTAATATACCGAAAAGGTAAGATATATGTATCTCGTTAGAATACGATATCAGTATTAACCATTCTTTTCTGTTTTAGGTTCCTGCCTTCGATGGATCGCCGCTGGACAACGATGGACGCCAACGATGTGACCCTGGATCGCCGCTGGACAACGATGGACCGACAACGCTGGATATGTATCGCCGCTGGACCACGATTCGCCGATATCAAGGGACCAGGTAAGTATCAAGTAAGTATTCACAAATTGACAATTTTGATTAATTGTAAATTATTGATCTTTTATTCATATATCATAATACAATCGCTTTCTGTTTCAGGATGGCCTTACAATCCCGATGACCAATACTGTTAAACAGTATTCACAAGACTTGTTCCGCGCGCTAAGTTATTTTACGCTGTATGTATCCACGGCTAAGTGCCTATTTGTTACAAGAGGCTATATGGCCCGTTCGCGAAAGCCTCCTTCGAGCGACTGCCTCGAGCCTTTGTCCGTTCGCCCCCCTCTCGACGTCCAGTCCCCACTCCTCACGGGCCGACGTCGTGACTCACCATGCTCGCACGCGTGATCTTGTTCCTGGCTCGAATAATATTTATCTTCCGCATTCCGATGGCATAGTTTTTGCGTATTTTTGCCGCACGCTGTCGAATAACAAGTTTACGTCCGAATAATATCGTGCTCGCTGTATTACAAATTCGCGTTGGAATATTGTCTTCCAATAAATATTACGATGCCTTATTCCGGAATTGCCACATATTTTATCTACTTTACATTTACCCGTATCTCATAGCAACTTCGGCACAATGCATCGCATTTACATTCCAAGCTCGTTTTCTCACTTTACGGGAGTGACTTTCCGTTACCCGGTACGCATTCTGGGTCTTTTCGGGCTGTTTGTCGCTTCCGGCTCGCGTACTTCCAAACCGTCGAATGAATCGCGTCGCTATTGCATACTGGGTCTTTCGGGCCCTTCCTTAGGCGGAATCCGCAGCTAGTTCCCGGCGATGATCCCCAGCTCTCTAGTTTCCGGTCCGGAGGTCGGACTCCGTCGCGGACCATACGAATGCCTCGTTTGGACTCCCCTTAACACGTTTTTATCGCAACTTCCTGGGGAAGTGCCCGGTTCGCGTATTCCTGATTCGGTGACTTTACTACTTCGCGGACCTCATGGTCGTCCTATTCGCGACCCCCTTAACACGTTCGCATCGCGACTTCCTGTAGAACTATTTCGGTTCGCTTGTTCCCGGGTCGGTGATATTATCGCTTCGCGAACCTCATGGTCGTCCCATTTACGTTCTCCTGAATATCGTGATCTCGCGACTTTCGACAATATGCCTTCGGTTCGCGAATTAGTCCACCTAGTTACTATGCTTATATCTATACCCATAAGAATAAACTCATCACCGTTAATATTTTTTTATCTTTTAATATAACCCTAATCCTAACGCTGACCGCGGTGTCTCAATCATAATAGAATCGCCTCATCGCGACAATATTAATATCGAGCATCGCTATCGCGGTCGTTATCTCCGGTCGCTTGGCCGGCGTCGCTGCTCTCGGGTCTGGTACTCGGGCCCCCGGGACGCTCGTCCTCTGCTGGCCTGTTCACCCCTGTCTCCTGTGTTCTCTCTACCACGACCTGTGGGTCCACCGCGACCCGCACGGTAGAATGTGCGTTTGGCTCTCGTGGCTGCGCTGAAGGGTGCGGCTGCAAGGTTAGGTTGTGACCGAACGATACATAATCGGGCCACTGGGTACGTGATTTTGTCCTCTAAGTCATCGGTCGCCATTCGGTTTAACCTAAAAGTACCGAGAAGGTCGGTATTCGTAATGCAAACGGACCAAAAGTTGAACAATTTGTTTAAACAATTTTATTTTTTAATCCCGCCACAACTGCCTAGTAAGCATCGCCTGTGCTCTGGATACTGCTAGGTATGACCTTGATCGGCCAGCCAGGGGTGCCTGTCATCTGGACAGCCGCTTGATCAGGTACGTATATACGTATATCTCCTTAACCCTTTCATTTTTTAGATTCCCGCCACAGCTGCCTGCTCTGGGATGCTCTGCCTATCGCCTCCGCTATCTATCATTCATCTGCCTCATCCGTGGAACCAAGATGGCCGGACAACCGCTTGATCGGGTAAGTCCCAGCATTAATCTAAGTAAAACGCTACTAATTCTCTTTTATTTTCAGGTTTCGTCGACGGATTCCTCATCACCATCACCGACGTCGTGGATCACCGCTGCTCACCGATGTCCAGGATCACCGCGTCTGGGAGCTGGCCGGACAACCAGGTAAGTCTGAGAACTGTCCGCGTAACTATAACTAATGCCGTTTCTTTGCAGGTTTCCGCCACGGTTTCCTCATCTATGGCCTCCTCCGAAGCAGAATCTATGATGACCTTGAAGCTCGGTCCACGCTATCACCAAGATGGCCGGACAGCCGCTTGTTCAGGTAAGTTGAAGGTAAGTAACTGATATTTTCGTATATATTTTTGCAAATAATTATTGCTTTTATTGTTAACTATCGTTTCACATTGATGGTGGTTCACAATTACTGATTGCACAAGATGGCGGTCGCACGTCTCGCAAAGTGCGATTTCACGATTCAGGTACGCGAAAACCCGTACGCCTTTCGTATCGGCGTCACGTAACGCTGTTAGCGGGCGTTCCCGTTTGTTTCGGACACTGCGGTAGGCTTACAAATCGTATTCCGTTTCGCGTTCGCGATATTAATTACGATACGCCGGGACATACGCGCGAGAAGATAGCTACAGTTCGAGCGCCCACGAGAGACTGCCTCGAGGAATATTCCTCCCTCGGGCTCCCTACCTCCGAAGTTTTACCCTCACCATGGGGTCTCGGCCGCTTTCTCCTCGCGGTAATTTTCCATTCTACGCTGTTATAATAGCTGTTTACGAGTTTCGGCTCGCCAGGTGTGCGCCAGATGTTCGCGATGAAAATTTCCGCCGCCAGTATACTATTTACGACTTAATCAGCTCCCGGGTAGCGGTTTTTCTACTCTTTGAATAATGGACTTTCGATGGCGCCGACCCGTGTGCACGGCCTCTCCTACGTCCCTAATGCCGATTCCGGGTCGACTTCCTGGAGAAAACGTCCAGGTCGCTTTCTAGATGTCCGCCGATGGCGGCGACCTATCTGCCTATTCCCCCGGTCCCTACTAACCGTATTCCGGCCTGACTTCCTGTAGCCGACGTCTAGAATCATCGGTTACCCGGACTGCAAGGGGGGTCCTGTTAGGATGATCGGATTTCGACCGCGATTCGTTCCTCGGGTGTACTAGGTATCCTCGAGGACGCAGTTTGAATCTTTTTCCGTTCCGACGCTCGGTTCGCGATTTCGCAA